AGGCCGGGCATGTTCTGGAGAGCTAGATTAGCCCGTGTTTTATTTGAAGAAACGATTATGTCCTTCTAGACTTCATTTAACATTTAGTGTCTGTGGTTTTGGTGCGCTTGTTTGCTGTTTAGACCTGGCGTTTGCTTTGTTTTTGAAGTCAATAAATGGTGACATATCAAAAGTGAAACCAAAACATGATTTCCGCTCATTAGACTCATCCAAACTGACGTATGTTTGTAATTATTTTAATTTTCTTGAGATGTTTTATTTTGGGTTTTTTACAAGCTGAGAGTAATAAATATCGACATTATATTGTGATATTTATAATGTAGTTATACTGTCTAACATTTTTCAGTCCTAATGCACAAGGACTGAACAAAACCATTTCTGCTATGGCCACTCTTTATTGTGTTGCCACTTTTTTTTTTTATTGTACATAATTATATCTCGCACAGACTATATTTTTAACCTTTAAGATGTTGCACACTGTCTTTTGCACAAATCTGAGTGATTCTATCCATGCCAAATGTGACATGTAAATTCCCCCAGTGTGAGATCAATAAAGTCTATCTTATTTAATCTTATCTGATTACAGAAATAAATGAGAGTTATTCTAATTTTCAGAGTATCCACTGTATAATTTTGTTTTTGCATCATTCTCCCTCAACCATTTAACCAGTGTTTTTTTATCAGAGACTTTTCATTATCATCCATTCTGTCCATGCTTTTATTGCCTGTTGAATAGAACAAGACTCATGAACTACAACTGCTTCTATAAATAAGAATAACAACGTCGCTATGTAGAAGGAAGTACATTTTGAATTGTGTCCAAGTCCACACACACACACACACACGCAAACACACACACACACACATACACACACACTGGCCGATCTTGCCTTTAACGAAATGCTCTTCAGTCTTGGCCCTATGAGCAATAATCCGCAGACTAGCAGCTGCCCATTACCAGGGCAACCGGCACGGAGAAAACTGCCACAACTTCTAATTAAAGTTGTTTTTAAAAAGGGAATATTCTCAGGGAAGGATAAGAATGAAATGTCCGTTTAGTTCAATTTCTTTATCATGTTTTTCCCATTAACAGATTTATGTGATAAAAGTGCTCATTTATTTGCTTATTTATAGGAAACAACAGCACACACTTGTCTTTTTTCAAACTTTTATTTTTAAAATGAACAGACAAATTGACTCATTTCACAAATCAAGCTGCTTTCATCTGAGATTTTGCTTTTGGTGTCTACTTATCATCAAGTCAGGCCCTGTCAAAACATTCCATTTCACACAATGACAGTCAACTCTTGCCGTATAGATTTACAAGACCAAATAAAAAAAAGCAGTAATGATCATGAAAAAGTTGCCTCGCTCCAAGGTTTTCCATCTCTCTCTCTCCGGGGCACACCTATACATCCTCCTTTAAGTGACGCTGCGAGTGTGCGGAGGATATACGTGCCTTTGTCAAAGCAGAGTTTGCGAGACTTAATGAGGCATAACTAAACGAAGGCCCACCATCAGTAGCACCATGCTGGAAGCGCCATGGCGGGACAGAGCAGCCATTGATTCTTGCTTCAAACCTCTTGAGTTCCTAATCAGCTTCTTTGGTTGTGCGTTTCGGAGCGGACAAAGCCATTGTTGGCCTGTGTCACAACAGGTCAGTAGTTATTAGTGGCCACTGAAAACTGTTTCTCTAACTACTTATGAGTGAATTGAAAAAACATGCAGAGGGAGACTCAGAGGGGGATTACGGCCTCAGTCCCAGAGTGTGACATGGGTTTGTAATAAGGGCTGGTGCTCTGTCCATTTCAGTGTATGCAACAACCTCTCCATCCACATCCAAGCCTCTTCAATCAGGAAATACTCATTTAGAAAATAAAAAATAAAAAGAAACTGCCTTCTTAGGTTACTGATAACATTTCAATAGAGAATCCAGCGACAACATATATATAAAAAAGACTGGAAGAGCTAGAAAATGAAATGAAATTAAGACTGTTTTTTCATTTGTAACTGTCAAACAAGATCAAACTTACTACGATTTCAGCGAACGTGTAATATGTTGAAATTGTGCGTTGACTAACACTAATATTGAAAAGAGAATTGAGGACATTCTTGAGCAACAGGTGACATTGATTATTTATGTGTGGTTTTTTTACAAATTGAAATATACATGTGTGTGCATATTCAAAAATATGTTCCGTTGCATTGTTATTTTCGTCTGCACTTAGAAAAGCGAGCTCGGCAGTTCTGGGCCGAGTAGAACTGCAGGGCTATAAATTGGCGCTATGTTTCTCTGTAAACTGGACAGCCAATAATGTTAAGCCTTTCCCAATTAGTGGTCTCTTGGTTGCTAGGTCGCCATGGCCAATTGAGGAACACATGAATAGGACTTGAAAAGGTTTCTCTGCGATCAGACCTTCTGACATATTAAGGAGAATAATAGGAGAAAGAGATGGGGCTGAGGCTTCCTTGTAGATAATTTATATTTTGCACTGCAGCACTTAGAGCATAATACTGTCCACAAGAGGAATATTTACCTGAAGTTCATATTTATGATGTGTGTGACAATGAAGAACCTATGTATTTAAATTGTATTCTTGTTCGTCTATTGTATTCATTTAATCAATATGGAAATGTGTTTATCATAGGGTACAAACTCAAATACGCCGTAGCCCCTTCTGGCCTGAAACATTGCAACAAAAATGTGATGCTCGCAGCAATTACAGTGCCAGACCAATCTCATATATCTTAACAAAGAGAGAGGTACCCCTCAATAAAGCGAGATGCAACTCGCACAATGACTAGTGATTACCAAGCATAGCCTATTAGTGCACCATAACTATGGCTATTGAAAACAGAAAAGAATGGTTTCACCTCACTTCCATTCCATGTGGTCCACCATCAAAAGATCTGTCGACCGCTCTTTCATGCCCTCAATTTAGAGGCAAAATCTATCAGCCACATCTTGCAGCATCAAAGTGTATATTGTGGAATGCGTTTCTCTTTTTAATGCTCTTATCAAACTCCTTCTTGATAGAGTTGCTGAGCTCAATTTCAAATGTCAGGTGCATATTGGCTCTGATGCTTCCTTAGAGTGCTGAGATGATGACACATATACATACAGCTGCCAGGTATGTGAAGGGGCTGGAAATGGAAGCTCTCTAAGTCTCCATTGAGACACCCTGATAGCCATCATCATCGTCGTCATCATGGGTGTCATCAGCGCGGGGATTGAGAAGTCATTTCCAGTTGTGTTTAAATGACCACAGGAAATGAAACGTTATGAACCACGGCTGCAGGTCTAAAAGGTTTTGGAGTAGACGCCAAAGAGCTGACACTGATGCTAAGTGATGACCTTAAACATTCTGGAGTTTGTTTACACATCTGTGATTACTGCAGCAGTAAATGCCTTACACCAAATTGTTCAATAATACTTGTGTGGGACTTATTAATAATGGGAAAAATAATTTAAAAGTTGATATTCTGATATTTTTGTTTTCTTAAATTGTGTAAAGGCCTAATACTGTAACCAAAAGTTTACACATGGTCCAAACAAATTCTACACATGGTCCAAGCAAATACTACTTTTCACCCTGAAATTATTTATGAATAAATATTGAGAAAAAAAAATTAGGCCTGTGTGTGTTTTTCCACATACAAAATTGTGGTTCATTTTAAAACAACGAATTAATTAATGAATGAATTTATGATTTATTTTGTGAGTAAACTTTTCTTTTTTGTCTTGGAAAATAAATATAGCAACTATTTTAGAATGTACTAATAATCCTAATAATATCGACCTTGATGCTGCAGGCTGTAACTTTTGCGCATAGGCCCCGCAGGCTGCACCGTGATGTCCCGGGAACACCGAGGCGGACGCTCGGTCTGTATAGAATTAATATAATCTCATTTAGCCAATTTAAGCCGATAGATTTACTGTCAATAAATATGTAGTGTGATTACATTGTATTTATAGATATAGGCTAATAACACTATTCTACATAATAATAATAATAATAATAAGAGTAATAATAATAACAAGAGGGATAATAATAATAACAACAATAACAGATTTCTTTTTAACAACAAGCATAATGATTTATATTACTATTGTTATTAATATTATTCTTATTATTTATATTATAATTTGATCATAATATTATTTCAGAATAATGATCATGATAACTTAAATTTACGCTTATTGGGAATGGCGTCACTCTAGCGGTGCGTGTTGGTTTGCAGAGAGCGCTTCAGCGGCTCCAAGTCTCAGGCATCCTCCATGAAAGGCAGCCCTCCAAAATGTCACCTGAACAATGCTTGCTCCCTCATCGACCTTGCTTTCCAACTCAATTTGTCTCAATCACAACATAATGAAAATGCACTTCAAAACAGATTCCTCTTTAAAAAATTACTTCTATAGGAATTGCTCTCACATTTCAAGTTATTTATTGTTACCGATCACTTGGTTTAAGAAACATATACAGCAGCCATCACGCATTTGTTCCCTTTAAATTACAAAAGAATCAAGAAACAATAAAATAACCAATATGATACAAGTAACGCTATCTGTTAGGCAAAAACCACTCCCTACTTTATTGGATGAATGAATACATTAGTTTACAATATTAATTTGATAAAAATGCTGAGAGGGAGAAATGGTGGTTTTGTCCTGATCCCACAACCCCTTCATTTGAGCTCAAGAGAAGCAGCATTCCTATTTGCTCTATAACAAGGACAAATCATCGAAAGTCCAAAATGCGAATAACAAAAGATCCAGAATTGCTTTCAAGGGCAGCCATTTCTGTAACGTTCAAAAATAGACTCTCCACTCAGAGATGTCAAGAAAATGTGACCTGATCAGCTGGTGCGCCTCGAGCGCCTGTGTCCCATCCAGCACCACACGCACTCGCCCGCGCCCTATGTGTGCCCCGTGTCCGCGCAAAGGTCCATGGGCCGTGTGTCTGTGTGAGCTCATCCTATGGGTCCCACAGCTGTACATCCTACCACGTCCTGCCGTAAAGCAGGTTGGAGCTGACCATGCTGGAGGTGTAGTCCACTGCAGACGTGTCCAGCTGAGCCATGTTGAGCTGACTGTGTAGAGAGGGGGGGCTGGGGGACATCTCCTCCAGATCTAACGCGTTCACCTGGCCCTGGTGCAGGCCGCTGGTGGAGGACGCATGCACGACCCCGGGCCCGTTCTGCTGCTGGCTCTGCTGTACCTGGGCTGGGGTCGGAGTGTTAGAGCCGTTCTGGCAGGGTTTGCCGTCCTTCACCAGCACTGGGACCGCCACACGCCGAGGGGACTGCGCCTGCTGCTGGCACAGCGTCCCGTCCTGCTGCTGCTGCTGCGCCGCCTTGTCCTTGGCCTGGCGCTTCATTTTGTAGCGATGGTTTTGGAACCAGATCTTGACCTGAGTGGGCGTCAGGTGGATCATACTGGCCAGGTGCTCCCTCTCAGGTGCCGACAGATACTTCTGCTGCTTGAAGCGCCTCTCCAGCTCGTAGACCTGCGCCTGGGAAAACAGCACGCGTCGTTTCCGTCTGGGCGCTGCGTGCAGGGCTGGCATGGATTTGGTGGCATCGGCCATTCCAGTGAGCGTGCCCATCCCCGCCATGTTCATACCTGTGGAAGGTCCCATGAATCTAGAAACTTAAACATATACATACATACACCACGTTCAATCAGGAGAACACTCGGCTCATGCAGACTAATTATGTTTATTTCAGAAGCCTATATATAATACTAATAATTATAATGATACTAATAATAACAACCTAATAATAATAATAGTGCAATAACAATATTCTCAAATATATAAATAAAAATAATACTAATAATAATCTTATGATAACTTTAATCATAACAATATCTATAATAATTCAAAAGCCAAAATATAAAATATATATTTCTTTCTGCAGAGAATAATAATAATAATAGTTCACCAAATAAAATAAAATAACCTGTGGACAGCAAGTGTTCGTAATCACTATAGTCTAAAGTTGATCAATATGCAACAAAGTCTGATCTGTTAAATGAATATCCCGGATACATTTACGTTGGGATTGAACCATGCTTGTCCTCTATACTGAATATAAGTCTAAAGACGGCGCACATGAAAGCCTGTGTAAGTGCGTAAAAGGCGCAGAACTTACTGGTGGAGTATCTGGGGTCCGGATTGGTGCTGTACCAGCCTGTTGCGGCTGCACTATTCCGCATGCTCTCCTGGTAAGACGGCAGGTCCCCCATGTTTCCAATGCTCCCGTTACAGTATCCCCCCATGGCGCTGTGGGAGAACTGGGAGACGCCGTGCGGCATGTGGTATGTGGTGGCCACCGTGGCGTTGTGACCCATGTGCTGCTGCATCCCGGACTGAGACACCTGCGGCTGTCGGTACGCTCCCAGTGAAGAGGCGAGGTTTCCGTCCATGGCACTAAACTTCTTGTAGGTCTCCTCAATAGGACTCAAAATATCTGTCACTGAAAAAGGCGTTGTATGTTTTGGGCTCAACGACATGATTTAGAAAGCAGGTAGATTTAGTGTTTGAGCAGATCAACTGTGTTGTTGTATCGGCTCTCTCCTTGGTGGATGTCTACGTAAGAGAGTGCTTGTAGTGCGCCTGAGATCCTATTGATCGCCTTGGAGAAGGAGGCGAGCCCAGGGCGCTCTTAGCCCGGGTTTATTGGAGCCAGGAGCCAGGTTTACGACAAACACAAGGGGGCGGAGCAAAACTCCTAAACCAGCAAACAATAGTCATTGACATTTTTGCCAAATATTTCGTGACATTTCTATGTCTGGCTCATATGTCCTGTATGTGCGTAAAATCAAACAAGAATAACTTTGGATTGACATTGTGCGGGCGAATAACTGCTCATATGATTTTGCGTCATGAGGGAATTCCGCTCTTTCTGGAAACTTTGAGTGCACTTTGGACACAAATGAGGGCCACCAAGTATCATCAAAGAGGCACAATGAAGTTATGTGCCCGACTGATGCGCGCCTCTTCACCATCATTTGTCCAAACTGAGAGGTGGATGCTTCCAGAGACAAGATCAATCTAACAAAGTTAAAATGTGATAAATTCAAGGTCTCATTAAGTCTCAAATAACTTTGGCGCCACATAACTATCATAAACCAACACTTTAATTGCAGGGGAATGGATGAGATTCACTCAGAGAGATGCCTCGTTCACATGTTCTGACCTTTGTCGTGCACAAATCAACACATTGATTACACAAGTGTCAATAAATATACTGCAATAACGTTTAAACCTCCCCTCTCTTTTAATCTTGCCTTTATGTGAGGTGATGTACTTGTCCATGCATTGATAAGAAAGTTTACACGACTCTTCGTGAGCAACATTCCGACTCGTTTGTAAAGCATCATGTCATGTCATGTCATGGCTTGGCACGGCACGGCAGCGGCTCTTGTCTAATGGAACAAATGAAGAAGCGACATGGTTCGCAGCAAGTCATGTAGTTATTATCCATATGCAGAGTGGGCTATGCCATCTTCAATCACTGAAACATGCTTTCTTTTTCTTTTTAAAGAAGCTCTCTTCCCATTTATTTTCTTATCGAGAAACTAAAATGAGTGAGACTGAAATGTCGGTTAAATTATCTTCTGCATGTCTATACTTTGGTGCACCCTTAAGCTTTGTCCTTTCAGGACGACAAAGAAAGATATAGGCCTCGGCCCTAGACCTCTAATATTATGCAAATGAGCCCAAGCTCTCAACCTTGTGGATTACTGAGTCAGAGAGCAGGACCCTGGTCCACAAACCCTCCACATTAGGACCTGATCCAGACCTGGAGCCGACAGGCCACGCTTCCCACAGCTGTGCAGTCTTTAGACTTAGACTAACTTTTATTTATCTGCAGGTGTTTGCCTCCTCGATTCACGGATGCAGGGCCCATCTGGAAGTCCAGGTTTGATGATTTCTTTTGTCTCATTTCTGCGCATGTAAAACTTGTTGTCCTGAGATGTGACGATGGAGCTTGTGTTTAGAACAGTCGCTGAGAAGCAGTCTGGCAACGAACACTCATGTCCTTCACATTTTGGACTTGAATCTGAGACCAGCTCTTATGAGTGGTTTTATTTTTGCTTTTGAATGCTCTCGGGGAGAAAGAGCTGTATCAACTGCAGACAACTGCATGTGTTCGATAGTATTTTTGAGAAGAACATTGTGTTAGCAGACAGAGCAAGCGGCTGGGTTTTGAAGTGTGGTCTTGCATTGTGCATTTTCTGCTCCAGTGGCCGCAGAGACGAGACGCCCGGGTCCTGACCTGACGTCTCCTCCACACTCTGCGGACCGTGATCAAACTGCTACAATGCTGATATTCACTATATCCATTTAGTGCAACAATATTATTAACAACGCCTCTCAAAAAGGACAATATCGAGATATGAAACGATATAGACAAAGATCAACGCGCACTATGGTCTTGGGAAAATAGCAGAAAGGAATGAGGTAAAAAGACGCACGGGTTTGCTGAGATGTTGTAGATTTAGTAAAAACCGCGTGCGTTATAGACTAATTATAGGCACAATTTGTAGGCATTATGATCATGATTCTTATTTTTATCATTACGAGTATGATGTACTATTATTTTATTATCATTATTATTGTAATTAATATCAATATAATCTTTATAATGTCGAAGATTTCACTGCTTATTTTCAAACATTGTAATTATTTCCAAACATTCAAACTATAATAGACACGGATATATTGTCATCATTAAACCAGTTCATTTATTCATTCATTTTAAGCCAATTTGCAGCAAAAACAGAATATTCTCCTGATGTCACTATGACTTAAGATGGAAAGAACCAATCAATTTAAACAAAGCGCTTGCCATCCAAAAAAAAACAAGTTTTATAGTTTACTTCTTTGGACTGGTATGTGCACGCGCAGAAATCCTCCCCAGAGATGTCAGAGTGGTGAGTCCATGTCATTTAGATCAGGCTCGGTGTGAGTGCGCGCACAGGGCCAGAGCGCGCGCAGGTGCGGATCTTTGAGCGCGGCACTTGAGGCGCTCTGCTCCCGCGGATAAGGAGGTTAAAGGTCCTCCCAAGTGCTGAAACTATGTGACAGGCCTCTTCACACAGTATTCTTCGGCTCCAGCTTCATTCACTTACAATTAATGTCGCTTGATGGACGAAATGATGCTAATGGACAAAAATGTACCGCATATTTCCACTAAAACTCATGGCCGGAGAAACTGCAGCTGTTCTTTCAGTTATTCTCGAGTTTAACGTGAGTAAATACGACGTTATTTAAGAATTTGTTTTCAAAATGGTTGTTGTTTTTTGTTAGAAAAAAAAGACGATAAACTGGTGAAACTTTACTTATCGTTCAAAAGTCCATTTATGTAATTTAACTTGCGATGTGAAACTAGCATCATGACGGACTCATTACAGTGAGATATGTCAAGCCTTTATAATGATATTATTTTTGCTGGTAGAAAAAAACAAATGTGAACCATTTGTAAATTAAATAATCACAGGCTTAGCTCACACAAGTATTGAGTCCATACCATCATTTAAATTACAGAAATAAATGAAGTTTATACAATATAATTTTTTTTCCTAATTTCACCTGTATGTTACTGTTCAAATGTGACCCCTAAATTAATGTTGAACTGATCATAAAAATGAGTTAGAGGAGCCCATTTTGGACAATATTTTATTCACTGACTTAAAATAGAATTAGGTGTTTTTTTACCATTGTAAGTACCAAGCCATGGAAACTAAAGAAAACTAGAATTTGCTTTGGCCCTTTGTGAAAAAAGTATTTTTTTAAATATATAAAGACATCACCAATCTAATCCATACCGTGGACTTTAACGATGTGGATAAGTGACCGTGGATAAGTCAATTATTAATGTCATTGTCCAAACAAAACAACAGAAACGGATAAAATAGTCTTCGTACATCTGAGACATTATAGCAGAAATACAAATTGAGTGGGAAGAAGTGAAACGTTTTTAAACAACATCTGTTTGGTTCAATCTAACATCACATCAGCAGTCATCTGAGGGAATGAATTGTTCATTTGTAAATAGCAGAGGTTTCTCAACTTGCTTTGTTGTGATTATGACATTACTAATCCAAATAAACATCATGTCATTCTTAAAAAAAACGTTTTCTCCTGCAGCAGATGGTTCTGAGGTTAAGAGATTTTCTACACACATACTGTATAAGCCTGTATATAGTGCAATTAAAGCATTGATCAAAACAAAACAGGGATTACACACAGGATTAAATCAGATATTGATCTAATAAACAGCACTAAAAACAGACAATAACACAATGACGACCACTTCTTCAACAACTGTATTATTGAGTTGTATTTCCTGATTTCAAAACTGGCACAAAGTCACTCAATTGGTTTGGCACAACACCGGCGCTTTGTCGAATCCATCTGCACTTGTGGTTTAGAGTTTTGCTAATCCAAACTTTGCCGGTGCCCTGAGTGCAGTGGGACTATATGTGTGCGGAAGTTGGAAATGAAAGAAGTGAGAGGACTCTGTGTGTTTGTGGCTCGCTGCTTTTTTTCAGGAGGCCATTATTTAGATCAAGTCAAAAGCACTTTACGTTCAGAATCGACTCCTCTGCCGCCGTGTAGGAGCTCACACAACATGCTACGGTTTCTCTTTTACTTTCTATGCAGTCAAAAAGAAATTCACTCGCTCTGGTTTGAATTCTGGAGTCTATATATGGACTGAGTATGAAGAGAATGAAAAAATTCTAAGTGCTGTAAGTTAGGACTGAAAAAAATGCCAGATTTAGTGAGAGGTGAAAATGTTAAAATGACGTTTAGGGACAGGATTTATGAGAATTTTTGTCTTTCTTCTGTTCCTGTTTTCCCCCACATTGTCTTTATTTGTCTATATTTAATTAGTCAATACACAAAAAAAAGTCAAATATAAAAATGTCTATACACAAACCTTATTTTTCTGTTTCATCCTTTATTGAAAATCCCCCACTGTGGGACAATCTCATCTTATGTTGTGTGCTTTTAACTTTTTCCGTTTGCTGCTTTTTATACATATGTTTTTTGATCACCAGTCTCCTTGGATCTACTGTTGTCACTGTTTTCATAGCAACTGTTTCCCGTACATTTGGAACTCTGTGAAGCGACGTTGGTGTGATTATAAATGATCATGGAGGCGGTGAAGTCTATTAAAGACACATTTTGTTCAGGAAAGCTCCATGTGAGGGATGTTTGTGCTCTCTCTTTCAGTCCTGTTTTGTGGAGATAGATGTGGACGGATGATGGAGCTTTGTGTTCGACCTCGCAGACTGGATCTTCACAGCCACGACTTCAACGATGATGACGGCTGAGTGTGTTTACAGAAGATTAAATGCATTCACCAAACACAGCTCAAATCCAGGTTAAAACATGTGAGTATGAACCATTGCATTTATCATGTGTATTGTTATTTCAAAGTTTTTTTCTTCTCATGCACAATAAAGATGTTTAACTCCAGTACGTGGTCCCTTTTCATGAAATACCAAATGAAATAAATCAAGTTGACCGAGATACCATTCAGATTTGTGCAAAGCCCTCGTGTGTATGTGTTTTGGTTTGAGCACAGACAATAGTGAGTGTGAATGGAGTGAGCAGTGTTTAAAGGGTCCTGGATGGCTCTGGACATCTGCATTAGAGAGCGCTCTCTCCTGCACAGGCCAAGCATCGGCCTCAGCATTATAATACACAAGTGGCTGCTTTTTTTCTCCAGCTCATGAATGACACATGCAGTCTGCTGGGCAGTCCGCTGGGCAGTCCGCTGGGCAGCCTGCTGGGCAGTCCGCTGGGCAGTCTGCTGGGCAGTCCGCTGGGCAGTCCGCTGGGCAGTCCGCTGGGCAGCCTGCTGGGCAGCCTGCTGGGCAGTCCGCTGGGCAGTCCGCTGGGCAGTCCGCTGGGCAGTCCGCTGGGCAGTCCGCTGGGCAGTCCGCTGGGCAGTCCGCTGGGCAGTCCGCTGGGCAGTCCGCTGGGCAGCCTGTGAGCGGCGAGACGTCGCAGAGGTCAGCAGGTCAACAATGTTTTACTTACAAACACAAGAAGTAAAGTAATACCAACATTTTAGTCTTTTTAGTTTCTTTACCTGTGTTTTAGACCACATTTTAGACTAGTTTTTACCAAAATTATTGGCTCAATGCCACAACATTGAGAAAGGTAATTGGTATTTAAATATTTATATAACTTTCTACAAAGTCATAAGTAACTATAGTTACTTTTGTAAAACATTGCAGTGATTATTTTCTGGAGTAATTCAGTGTAACTCATTAGAAAAGTGAAATGTGTAATATACAAGTTACATTCAGAGTTCATTCATAATTAATGTAAGTGCACACAAGTTTTTTTTCTCATTGTTTGCAATTATTTGAAGAATCATAGTTTCCGAGTAGTTTATATAACTACTCTCATCAGTCTGATATCATTGGTATTTATTAGTGTTTATAATCTGTAATTATACAAAACCAGTTATAACCTATTACAAAGAAATGAATCACTCATGACCACAGTCCCCAGGACGAGGTCTGGAAGCTCCAGGTGGTGTTTGTTTGGGACAACACCAGGAGAGAAGTCCACACAAAGATCATGCTTTACGCTCATGGTTTTCACAGTTACGTATGTATGTAATCCAAATAAAACTTCTCATGCTCAGTCAGGTGGATCAACACAGTATTTTAATCACGTTTAAAATAATAGGAGGGAATTATGTTTTTTTCAGCCTTTACTCCAGACGGCCAGAGGTTTACAGATTATTATACAAAAGATTATTATTTGGCATATTGCCTCCAAACTGTCCTTGAGCCAAGTGTGTTGTGGTCATTGTCCAGACGGGGAACATACATCCGGACCAAGCTTCAACTTCCTCGCTGATGTCTTGAGATGGTTTATAACATCCACATAATTTTTTCCCATGATGCCACCAATGCACCAGTCCCCACAGCATGATGCTGCCCTCCCTGTGCTTCACAATTCAAATGGTTTTCCTCGACGAGCATTGCCTCATTTTTCCCTCCAAATCCTAATGATGATCTTGGTAGAACTGTTCGATCTTTGTTTTCTCAGACAAAGTCAAACCTCGATCCCCAAGTGTCTTTTTGATGCTTTTGGAGCAATGGCTGAGCAGAAGCGTCTGCACAGGACAGTTTCACTGAGTTCACTGAAGCTTTTGACCCGTTACCTCAAACATCTTTACGAGGTACTTGGCTGTTGTTCTCAGATTTATTAGCATTTCATTCATCTCTAAGAGACAGAATATGAGAGTTTTTGAACAGATTAACACTGCGCCTCTAGGTGTTTAGAAATACAATTTAAATAGAATGGGAATTCCCAGGGATTTTTATTTCATTATTTGAATTTGTTAATTTTATTCCCTTTAATCCATTTCTGGATCAGAGCTGCCACCCAATGCTCAAAGCACCAGCCCCCGGTGTTGGGTCCATGGGAAGATGCCTTCTCCATCATCAAAGACATGGCCTTGGACTTTCAGTAAGTAAGTAAGTAATCTTTATTTATATACCGCCTTTCACAGACCAGAGTCACAAAGCGGTTTACAATTGTTATTTTTTTCAGCGGGGGCTTCAGGCCAGGTGGGGTCAAGTGTCTTGCCCAGGGACACAATTACAGCGGATATTAGAGGGAGCAGGTGACATGGGGGTCGTGGGGGGATCGAACCCACAACCATTCGGCCCAATGACCAATACTCTGAGCCACTGTCGCCCCATTATGATTATTAATTGAGTTTAGACAGCACATATTTATCAATGTGTCTACAAACAGAGTCAACATTAATAGACTGGAATTAGCACAAAACATAAATTGCATCCATTGTAAGAAGGCAGGTAGAAAAATACAAACACACAGTTAGGCAACAGCACAAGTTGACAAACACAACTTCAAGAATTATTCCAAAGAAAAGAACTTCATCTATGGGAGAGAGACTGGTTTGGTTTTCAGAACTCCTGTTGGGATGGTCCCACAGTTTTTTTCCCCAAAATTATGTTAATAATCAAGGCTTCTGTGTCAAGGTGTGAACTTTATTTATGTATTTTTATACATACAGTTTTACTTCCTGTCCTGTTGCCCTGATGATTGTCTGCCCCGCTCTGATGTGTTTCACCTGTATGTACCTGTGCTCCTCTCCTCTTGTTGCTGGTCCATTGTATTGTTAATGTCTGTTCTTTTCCATCCTGTTCCTGAGTCCTTGTTCCTTTGGGTTGTTTGTTAGTTTTTTTTCCTGGACTTTAATTTCATTGAAATGATTTAATTCTTTAACCATAACATCTACCACACAGGACAGAAGGCTACATCGAGATATCAGTTACATAAGCCGCGTCTCCACCGCAGGAATTTGGGGTAATTTTCAAGGAACAGCCCCGTCGGTGCATGTCTCCCAAGCCCCGGCGATCCAAGATGGCGCCATATTCAAATGAATGGTTTGTGCTCAGTGACGCTTTGTGCCGGCATGGGGGCTGAAAGATTAGCGGAAGTCGTCTGAAACTCGCAAAGATCCATGGGAAATTTGCCTGTAGTTGGGCATCGTCTGGTCCTCCCGGTTCTGCGCAGTGGATGAACTCTCATGATGTGTTGCGCTATCTCCCATGATGTGTTGCGCTATCTCCCATGATGTGTTGCGCCAAATACGCGTGTGTGGGTCTCACGCACGTGCACAGAGGGGCTCGGGCACGCTCTGACCAATCAGAGCAGTTTATCAGAGCGGGAGTTAGAGCGGGAGCCAGACGGGCAGAGTTTGTGGCAGTAAAGTGTGGATTTAAAGAAAACCGAAGGATTTAAGAAGAAAAACAGTTGAGGATGACAAGGGACACTAAAATCCCCACAAACCCGACCTTTATGAAAGCTGTAGGTTCTCTGTCAGCTGAGGTCGCGCTGTTTTAATTTACATTGAGTTCTATGGGGAAAATTTCTGGGTAGCCCACGTGAATTTAGTCTGGTTTAGTTTGCAGTACCGCGAGAATTCCCCGAGCACATGAGTTATTCAGCTACAAGCTAGTAATACCCTATCCAGTTAATATAATAAATCCATGGTGTCTCCACTGCAAGAACTTTCCCCACAGGGCCATTTACAGGAACTTTTACGGGGCCCAACAGAGTCCCTCCTCCATGCTAGATACTCCGTTGGGCCCTGGTGGGACTTCAGGTTAACCCGGCGCTGATTGGCTAAAGCTAGCACAGGCCCAGACGCCAGCAGAAAGCACCAAAACAACTGGCATTCCGCAGCATTGGCCCAGCAGCATTAGCCTAGCAGCATTAGCCCAGCCGCATTAGCCTAGCAGCATTAGCCCAGCAGCATTAGCCTAGCAGCATTAGCCCAGCAGCATTAGCCTAGCAGCATTAGCCCAGCCGCATTAGCCTAGCAGCATTAGTCAAGCAGACACCAATGAAAACAGCAAAAAACAGCACGGCATTGATTCAGACGGGGTTTGAAGCATCGCAGCTAAATGAAAAGATAAATTTAGACATATCAGCTTCACCTCAAAGCACTGGGGATTCATCACACCCTAAAACAAGCCGTAAGAAGTTTTAAAAAACTGAAGCAGAACCCTAACACTACGACAACTGGAGCGGTTACGACAGTAAAATAAACAAATGGATTTGGCGTAATGAGTTTTGCTTATGACGTCTCCGAGTGGTGCTACTGCAGTGGAGACACGGACACTGAGAGGACCGAGGGAGAGGAAGTTTTCTGTAGAAGTTCCACCCGCTCCTTTTACCAGGAACTCCTGCGGTGGAAACGTGGCTATAGGTTCAGAATGTGACACAGAAATAGCAGTTTTCATCCTCCCTTAAAGCATAGCAGTGATGTTGTGATATATGGATTGTGTTATTTGAACTCTAATATACATTGTATTTACTGTTAAAATCAATTAAACCGTCTTTTGACTATTATACTGTATTACCAATCCGTCTTCTCCAGGATTCAAAGCGATGAAGTGTGGCCCTGGATCTACTCTGAATGGAAAAGAAGTCCAAACTGATCTTAGCTCACACTTCTGATGGTGCTGTGTCCTCCTGTGGGGATGAATGAGGCGCCTTCTGGGGGGCTCATAGTTGGGGTGTGCGGAGCCTTCCCCGGCTTCAAGCGGCCAATGTTGGATTGGTGGGTCCTGTCCAAAGCTTTGAGTTCACCTTTTTCTTTTTAGAAAAAGGTGAACTCAAAAAACCATTATTATAACTCAACTCAAAAAACCATTATTATATATAAAAAATGAAATAAACATAATTAATCAAAGAAACATATGACTTGTGGGTCCTGCAGTGGTACACAAAGGCACTTTGTGGAGATGGAATTGAACCCAGAACCTGTGCTAACTGCTGTGTCACCGTGCCAACCGTCAAAATGTAATGTTAGAATAAAAGGATTTTTCCATAAGACCCATGGCATCTGCTCCCATTGATGTCTGCTGTCGTTGTGTCCCTGGGCAAGACACTTAACCCCACATTGCCTGAAGCCCCCGCTGAAAGACCAAGACCATCTAGTCGATGACAGAGAAGCCATCTTCCCGTGGACTCACCACCTGCAGGAGGATCAGTGAGGGACTGGTGCTAAGAGACTTGGGTGGCAGCTCTGATTGCCACCCCCCCCCCCCCCCCCCCCCCCCAACCCAGAAATGGATTAAAGGGGTAGAAAATGACTTCTCTAAGCATTTGTTACATGGCATTCTGTTCATGCTACTACAATCAATGATTACACATTTGATGAACATTATGAAATATAATCTTTAAGAATCCAAAATGTGTTCTCTTACATTTGCAAGCAGGAACCAAGATCTGGCAGCTCTGTCTAAAATCAACCATTTGATATTATACCTTTATTGATTGTTTTCATATGTCATCCACTTGATCCAACATGTTTGGACACCACTACTATGAGAAAACAACATATTTTTAGATAAAAATACTTGGTTGTTCATTGACACGACACATGACCAAAGTATTTTACATAAAAGAAAACAATAATAAACGTAAAGAGGAAACAGAGTATTCGTCTGACCAAATGGCAGACACAAGCGAGTATCTGTGAGGGCGCCTGAAGCAGTGAACATGAGAATATCGGTGTCAGAGTTTGCTGTGTAGAGTCTGTAGTGCTGGAGAACAGAGGAGTGAGGGCAGGTTATCTCTTCAATGGCGCACTCCTGATAGAGCACAGAGCAAAGGCAATGAATGAACCTGTCCAGTCAATGCACCACCAGATTCCTCAAGAGCCCATGTCCACATTGTACTGGAAATATGAAGAGTATCTAGTCCAAAAATACAGTGGATTGTGAAAGATTTTATTTTGACATTTTTCCAGCTGGTATTTTCACATCCACAGTTTAAAGTTGTGACCTGAGCTGGGTACTATGCATTTCTGTGAACCTCATTCACACTTTTTGAAGGTTATACATTACAGTTCTTTGACTTGTACAAAAGTAAGTTGATCCAAACAATGTACTACAGGCAGATGTTTGTTGAAAAACTGAATAAATAGTATTTTTTGATGGTGTCGGAGCTTAGCCCAACAAGTTCCACTGTTGAGGCGGTGATGGGAGGAGGAGGGTTGCGGCTTGAGCAAAGATGTTGGCTGGAGGAGGGAGCCTTTTTAAGTGCAGACTGAGTTGATTGCTGATAGCAGAGGCACAGGTATAAAGAAGGGAGGAGGAGAGCAAGTAGATGAGATGGGCGTAGGTCAGTTTTAACTTTGCTTTAGCTTGAGGCGTTGAGGCTCAAGAGGATCTCTTTATAGACCAAATGTTTACGTGTGCAAACTGTTCTGGCACTTTAAATTATCTCACACTTGGATTGGAACTGTTTTAATTGATACATTTCCAAAATTATATTTGACAAATATTTTCTGTTTTGTTTGTTTTCTTTCTGTACTTTTTTTGTGCACACTGATGACTATTGTAGATGTATTCCAATGTGGTTTTACTGCAAATGTCAAATAAAATGAATCTCGATGTGATGTGTGTTGCGCTACTCCCCACGGGCTCCGTTAGCGGCAAAGGAGATGGCTAGGCTAAATGCTAACAACAGACTCGGGCGCATTACATACGTCACGGTAAAATCAGATCCAATCGTTTCAATCTGCAAAAGGAGTTAACTCCTCCCACCTGTTCACGGAGCTCAGTGGAGCAGCTCCAGACCTTAGTACCAAATGTAATTTGTACTATGGTGTGGTACGACCAGGCTAAATTTCTGGTCACATAAATTGGACTTTGGCATTCTACAAATCCTACGCACAACCAGAACATTTTAATTTGATGTCTTTTTATTTATTGAACCTCTCCAAAGATGCATTATTCTCATTTTGTTTACATCCTTTGAAAAAAACGTTCACATTTGAATCTACATTTGAATGTCAAATTAAAAATAGATAGATAGATACTTTATCGATCCCCGTCGGAGAAATTCAGGTGTCCAGTAGTAGCAAAAATAAAAATAAAAAATTGATCATTCTAAGAAGTTAAAAATAGTAATAATAGGTGGAGTAGCCTCTGGGTGGAAAAGGACTGCTCACAGAAGAAGAGGTGGAGAAGCCTCCGGGTGGAGCAGGACGGGTCACAGCAGCAGAGGTGGAGTAGCCTCTGGGTGGAGCAGGACGGGTCACAGCAGCAGAGGTGGAGTAGCCTCTGGGTGGAGCAGGACGGGTCACAGCAGCAGAGGTGGAGTAGCCTCTGGGTGGAGCAGGACGGGTCACAGCAGCAGAGGTGGAGTAGCCTCTGGGTGGAGCAGGACGGGTCACAGCAGCAGAGGTGGAGTAGCCTCTGGGTGGAGCAGGACGGGTCACAGCAGCAGAGGTGGAGTAGCCTCTGGGTGGAGCAGGACGGGTCACAGCAGCAGAGGTGGAGTAGCCTCTGGGTGGAGCAGGACAGGTCACAGTAGCAGAGGTGGAGTAAACGCTGGGTAGAGCAGGATGGGTGACAATGACTGATATAAAAAGATACTGCAGTCTGAACATTTGCACAATTCTATTTCTTGAGTGTTTTGAGGTTAAATTATTCTTGAGTTAGTTAAAGCATGTTACTATTTGGGAACCCAAATGTTTACCTAGCTTTAGGATTTTCTACTTCTGGGTGGCTCATCAAGACTATTGTTCCTCCCAATTGTCAATCATTCTGGTGATACATGTTTGTCAAATAAGACCAGAGAGTTTGGTTCAGAAAGTGGAGAGGGCGGTTCTTTCCTCCTAAATACCTTTAACAAAAACAAAAATCATATTATAGGTTCAAACAAAACAATCTCATACATTACGCACATACATTAGCTGTGAATGTGTTATAGAACCATATTTGGCTGCTACACCCGGACAGACAACATATTTGAATATTGAAGAGACATCACATTTATTTCGGATGCATTTTTACATCCTCTTCAAACACGGAGCTAATTATTCCCAGAGTTAAATTGGCAAAACCCATTGTCTCCACGTTTGGCTGCTCGTTTTCCATGCGGCGTGGATGATTGAAGCACAGCTCCAGCAGATGACGCTCCGCTCAGAGACCCAGCATCCATCTGCAGTGCTGGCATCTCAAGCACCTGATCTTATTCATCGTCTGAACAAGGTGAGACAATCCATTATGTGAAAGGCATAAACACTCGACTGGGGACCCTGATTGTCCCCCACACGGATCAGCCCACCACCTGACCACCGCCACCACCACTGCCGCTGCCGCCACCACCGTCGCCGCCATGGGCCTACGCCATGGACCTACACCATGAGCCTACACCATGAGCCTACGCCATGAGCCTACACCATGGACCTACACCATGAGCCTACACCATGAGCCTACGCTATGGACCTACGCCATGAGCCTACCCCATGAGCCTACGCCATGGACCTACGCCATGAGCCTACACCACAAGCCCACGCCACGGGCCTACACCATGAGCCTACGCCATGGACCTACACCATGAGCCTACACCATGAGCCTACGCCATGAGCCTATGCTATGAACCTACTACGCCATGAGCCTACACCACGAGCCTATGCCATGAGCCTACGCAGCGTTTCTTTGTAATCCCACCTCCTGATGGCCATGATTGGACAACTGCTCCCACTGGTCAAAACACAGCTGTGTCCAGTCAAATGTAGTTGATAATTGAAGTGATGTTCAAAATGGAAAGTAGATTAATCAGATTATCCCTTTGATAACATACAGCGAGGTTCCTCATTTGAGCACACACAGAACGATCCTCTGGCTCATTTTGATTGACAGGTTGTTTTGGACTTTAGTGACAGTGAGACCACAAACGGCTTTGAGGCGGAGTGTGCGTGCCTCATGAATGTGATGAGAGTCACAGTCAAAGCCTAAGTGACAGGCACAGTGGTTTCCTCTTGTGCCTCATCGCAAGAAGGTCCTGGGTTGGAGATCTGAACCAGACAGGGCTTTTCGGTGTGGGGTTGGCGTGTTCTCCCTGCAGTAGTTCCTCCTGGTGCAAAAACATATCAACTCTTTTACTGTTTTTTGATTGTTTTCACCACCATCTCGTTGGTAGTTATGTGTCTGACCTAAAACAGCTAATCTATAAATAGTTTTGTTTCAACCATTTCCCCATGGGGTTGGCTGACCACCACCAATCATTTATACTAGTCTCATCCTAAGTGTCTTGCCTATGGACACAATGACAGTTTGACACCTTAGCCTGAGCCACCCCAGCCCATTTGAGGTCTGACAGGATCAGGCTTTCACATGTAGGTGGCGCTATATTAGATATATAACTTGTTGAGAGGAATTGTAAACAGGTACTAATGTTTTCTGCTTTGGTACAGCGCCAACCGATGCAAACAGGTAAATATTGTAAATGCAGTATTGTTCGAACCAGTCTTTAGTGAGTAGTTGAAGCTGTTTGTTTGGGAATGTGACTGTGGGAGGCGGGAAGGACATCAGGCGACACTCTGCTGTATCTACAGCATCAATACTGTCACGTTCCAACAATACAAAATAAACATCCATGTCTTTGTCGCGTCTTTGGATCAGCTTTTTCAGACTGAAAAGTGACAAAGAGAAGACCACCTTTAGTATGCTAAAGATAAACACAGTACGTTGGGTTTGATTTGTTCACAAAAGAAAAAAGCTTTATCCCAGTTTGAAAATGTATGCAATTAAGATTTGACTAGTTTTAAACAGAAGCATTTATTGTTGATATTCATTCATTTTCATCCCTTTATAATGCATTTCTGGGTCAGGGGGGTGGCAATCAGAGCTGCCACCCAATTCACAAAGCACCAGTCCCTCACTGATCCTCCTGCAGGTGGTGGGTCCTCGGGAAGATGGCTGCTCCTTCATCACAGATACGGCCTTGATCTTTCAGCTATACTTCAGGCAAAGTGGGGTTAAGTGTCTTGCCCAGGGACACAACAACAGCAGATATCAGTGGGAACAGATGACATGGTTCATGGTGGGATCGAAACCACGACCATTAAGTCCAAAGACCAACGCTCTACCAACTGAGCTACTGTCGCCCCTTATTGTTGATATGAGATGTAAATCAATCAATCAATCAATCAAATTTTATTTATAAAGCGCTTTTCATACAAAAGATGCAACACAAAGTGCTTTACAGTTTGGTTAAAAACAATCCCGCCGACCCAAGACCCCTCCCCTAGACCACCCAACAGACCCAACCCAAACCACATATATGAGTGTGTCATGAACACTCATATACACACACACACACACACACACACCATTTCCCTGAAGAAGTCCCCAGGTTGAGGACGAAACGTCGGGAAAACTTGCTAAGAAGTACAGATGATGGGTGAGAAACCTTCCTTTGCTTTGACTAATCCCTGTACGACTGAGGGCTTACACAAACCAGTAAAACAATAAAACCATGATGAGAGACTTGGCAGGGTTCAGATGCAACCAGCTGAAAAAGCGTCATCCGAGGAGCCGTCTGCACCAGGAGCAGAGAGCCGCCCGTAGCCACGTAGTAAAATAGGTAGACGGTGTTGCCATAGCATATGCATACGATATATGATATACAGTAAGTACAATATACCGCAACAAATTGAAATAAAATGTTTATGCATGGATTCTTTGGCCATTGTCACATTTTTAGACATGATTCTTTCTATTGGGACAAACCATATGATTTTTTTATAATGAGAAAGTTCAAATCTGACATCATGAGATTTCTTCCTCTGCTGCATCAATATAGCTTTTATGAGGAAATAAAAACCTCAGAAATGATTACATGGGTTTCACTTGAGATCATCTTCTGTGTCAATTTTAATTTCTTAAAATTGGTAGGCTAAATCCTGGTTTGACTGTAAACAAAACACAGTGAATGGTTTGCCTCACCTCAAAATAGAAGACAGAACAGCAGAGTGAATTAATTAAATTCCAGTGTGAAGTATGAGATGCCACAGGTGCCTGCTGAACACTGGACTGAATCATTTCTGACGCTGCCGTAAGAGTTGTTTGGCTTCCAAATATGTTGAGGTCAACAGAAGTCATTTTCCTTTTAATGGTGTGAGCTCATTTACTTGAATGAGACAAAGCTTTTTTTTTTTTTCAAATATATTTTTATTCCACTTATTTTTCTAACATAATTAACAGAGGTAGGCTTTATTGCAAGTTATTCATTTCAAGGCTGTTTTGTTAATTATTTAACAGAATGTCAGGTAGCATTAGTAATGTGATAGGACACATTTAAAAGACTCAGATAAAACCGTAATCTTTGAGCGACCTCGGGCTAATTAACGGTCAGTAAATGTCTCCTCTGTAGCCTTGTGTCTCCAACCTCGTCTAAAGCAGTTGGATAGATTATAGCCTCTTTCATTAGTTCCACGGAGCTCCATCCTACCTTTCTCAGACGCACATTCACTGTCATTATGAACAGATTTCAATAGTGCCTTCAATGTGACCTACATTCTCTATGTGTTGTTTCTCTTCCACCAAAGGACAGTGTTGGGAAAGTTACTTTGCAGCAGCTCGAGTCCTGACAAGAACCAGGAAGTACGACCACATTAGTCCAGTCCTCAGGTCTCTGGCTTCCTGTGGCTCAGAGAATAGACTTTAAAACAGCTCTGCTTGTGTACAAGTCTCTCCATGGCCTCGCACCAAAATATATTAGTGACATGTTAGTCCCATATGAACCAGCCCGGACTCTGAGGAGCACAGGGACTGGACTCCTGTTAGTGCCCAGAGTCAGAACTAAACATGGGGAGGCTGCTTTTCAGATTCATGCTGCTAAAATCTGGAACAATCTTCCTGAAGATGTGAGACAGGCCTCCTCTCTGACAATGTTTAAAACCAGGTTAAAGACAGTTCTGTTTAGCTGTGCATACAACTGAGGGATTTTATATTTGTATCTTTCTTTTTAATGTTCTGTGATTATTTATGATTTTAATGCTTTCTTGTTTTGTTCAGCACTTTGAATTGCCTTGTGTATGAATTGTGCTATACAAATAAACTTGCCTTGCCTTGCCTTGCCTACTTTGATAAAGTGACTACACATCAGTGATCACTTCCTAAAGAGGAAATAGAGAGTAATAGAGTACTCTATAGTTACAATACTTTTGAATACATTTTGTCGTATATAAATAAATCATAAACATAAACCATATGTACCTAGATGTTTTTCTAAACATGTTTTAACAGCTTTACAGAATAATTGCTTATATTCCTCTGACTGAAATGTTCAATGGAGAAAAACACACAGAAACATCCAAGAAATGATCCAAGTTTAACCTCTGAGATAACACTAATCCTTATCAGTGCTGTTTGTGTCAACTGTAATCTGTAAGTATTTTCACACTGACCACAGTAAATTAACATCCATCCATTTTCTACCCTTTAATCCATTTCTGGGTCAGGGGGGTGGCAGTCAGAGATGCCACCCAAGTCTCATAGCACCAGCCCCTCACTGACCCTCTGCAGGTGGTGAGTCCACAGGAGGACGGCTGCTCTGAGTGTGAGCATAGCCTTGATCTTTCAGTGGGGGCTTTGGGCAAAGTGGGGTTAAGTGTCTTGCCCAAGGACACAACGACAGCAGTCATCAGTGGGAGTTGGTGGAGAAGGTGCAGAGGTGGGAATTGAACCCACGACCTTCTGGCCTTAAGGCCAATGCTCTACCAACTGAGCTACTGTCGCCCCATAATTAACATTAACACTGTTTATCTATTTTAGTAATGTGATTTTCTGTATAGAAAACATAAGTCACAGCTGCTCATGTGCAGTGGACAGAAGTCTGCACACTCAGCAGTTTGGAAAACCTCTGGTCACGATCCTTAACTTGTACTTTTTATTGTTTCAGAAAGTTGTCTCTGCGTGGGATGCTGCCACTTCAAAACTAAGACCACTTCTGTGCAAAATAATACAAATGCCAGATCAGCGTCTCCTTCAGGCTTATAACCTGCTGCAAAACGTGCACTTCCTTTTGTCTTTTTTTACCAAAGAAATTAGTTATCAGCAACTTCAATGTAGCGTTGAGAAGAGGAGATGTAAACTTGAATGCATTTAGTAAAATGACCTGGGTGAAGACAAGAACGCTCCTAATGGACGCTCTTAAGTTTCTCTTTTGAAAAAGTGATGCTTAATGAAAAGCGAGCTAAACGCCAGCTACACGATCAACAGGAGGCTTAGCTCGTGGAGTAAATCTACAGCGCTGGGTTGTCATGGTATTCTCATCACAACTGCCCTCTTTTTGTAACACAAAAGAGGGCAGTTGACTTTATTTACAAGTATTTACACTTGTAAATAAAGTCTATCTTATCTTATCGTACCAGTCCCCACTTTGGGAACCACTTTTACTCAGCTTTATATGCATTATTAATTCTGAAAATAAAAACTAGATTATTTTCTAGCAACAGGGTAGTTGGTAGAGCATTGGCCTTTGGGCTTGAAGGTTGTGGGTTCGATCCCACCACGAGACTTACTTCTCTGAAGTCTGCTGTTGTTGTGTCCTTGGGCAAGACACTTAACCTCTGGGAACATCAGGTGCCACAAAGTGCCAAACTGCCGTTGTGTCCTTGGGCAAGATACTTCACCCACATTGCCTAGAATGAGTCTGGTGTGTGTGTGAATGGCTGGTGGTGGTCAGAGGGGCCGATGGCACATACTGGTTGCCTCCCTTCTGTCAGTGTGCCCCAGGGCAGCTGTGGCTTAAGTAGGAGTGAATGAATAATAGCATGTGAGGCACCTTTGAGTGTCCAAAAAAGTGCTATTTAAAACGGATGCATTATTCATACTATTATTATTATTATTATTATATTTTAAACCAAACATGCTAAAGTTACAGCAATGTAAAAAATATTGTTATCACTCCTTGAGCCAAAGCAACTTGGTAGTTATGTAGTTGTAGGCCATTCTAAGTACATTCTAAGTAACGGAGTTCCAGAGGAGGACATGTGTGACTCCGTTACTTAGAATGGCAACACATACTTCTGATTCCTGTAAAGAAGAGACTTGGTTAGTTTCTTGTAGACCCTAACATAGCATGTGCTCTGTTCATATGGACAAAAAAAAACACATCAGTAAATTCCAATTATCTCAAATAACCATTAATAGACAATACTTTTATTACTACAAGTAGCTCGATGTAAGTACTTTGTTTGAAACTATGATAATTAACTAGTGTAATTGTTAACATCACAAAGTAATTTAATTACGTGTTAAGTTAAGTGCCTAAGTTACCTGCAGCACTGCATGAGGGCAGAGACATGTGAAGTCATCTTTAATGAAACCAACAGAGTGAGTGTGTGTCAAACAGGTTGGATAAATATAGTTAAAAATAGTGTGCGTAAGAGTGTGTGCGTGAAAGAAAGTGTGTAGCATGTGTGTAAGGGTGTGTGTTGTGTGTGTGTGCAGGTGTGTATGATGCATAGGTTCATCCAAATTCCGTACATGTTTCCCGCAGCGTCACAATCCGCCGCCGTCAGTCTTTGGGCCGCTGCAGATGGAGCGTGGAGCAGGTGGAGCCGTCAAAGCTCGCGGTGCATTTTCTTCTGGTCTCTTCAAAAGAACCGTGGCATATTCTCACAAAACCACGCACACACTCAGACATGCGCGCAGAGCTTCCTCTCTCCCCGTTTCCTTGGAGAGGTAGTTTTTTAAAGAGAGAAAAAGTGGCGTCTTTAAAGCACCGAGGCCCCCTGCAGGTGCACGCGCTGATGTGAGGCCGTGACGTCAGAGTGTCACTTTGTTATTACTGAACGGCTTAAGATTTAAATGTTTTACATTTTAGCTTTTTATTCAATACAGCATAGGCTCGAAATAGAATACGATTGGGATCGATCATGGTTTAATGTGATAATTAGCCTTTTTTGTAACTTTATCTGGGAATCAATAAAGTCTATGTTATCTGAATGTTTATTGTTCTGAGCGTTGGCTCTGTCCACGTGCGCCCCGTGGAGCCCGTGCCTTATCCTATTGCGCCACACAGTGGTTACAGATGGTCTTTTACTCATGTTCAGCTCATAGTGACATGTGAAAGAGCCTGAAAGACAAACCATTGGAAGAAGTAAACAAAGGTTTGTTTACATCATCAATATTATTAGCAATTAATAATAACAATTAACTGATATATTAAAAAGAATTATAACAATTCTTATCGTTCATAATGAGTGATAATAAATACGTTCATAGTATATAGGCCTTAAAAGCATATTATATGAAAAAATAAGAACAATAAAAATAATGTATTATATCGTATATAATATAAATTGTTATATGATTAATTACTATAATAATGAGAATAATAAATCATGTAGTGCGTTCGCTGCAGATACTGAACGATACTTTCACGCACGAATACTTTCCATGCGTGAGCATTTGCTGCCATCTCGTGGACACTTACTGCAACAGCCACAGCGTGGCCGCTGTGCAGGTCCTCCCTCCCTCCTCTGGCCCCCTCTCTGTTTAATATCAGGACTGTGGCGAATCTAATCTGGATCTCCTTTAAGGCAATAAAACTCAGATAGCCTCCTTTCAAATGAAACGCGTCGCTTATTATAGCTCTGAAATCCTCGTTTATTTAGCGATGTGCGTGATAGAAAAATGATGTGAGTCGAAGTTCAGAAGGGGCACTGCGGAGGACAGTGAGGGGGGTCCCAGTGTCTCAGCGTCTTGCGGTGGGCTATTGTTTTTTTTTTTTATACCCGTAACATTGTTATCCACGGGCACGGAGCTGTGCCACACGCGGACACGCTCGTTTTAACATGACGGCTCTTATCCCTTCGAGTGACACAGTCTATTTCACGTCAAACCAACACTGAAGCAATCTGTTCCAGGGCTCAATGTCATTTTCTCTGTCACTGTAGACCTGAAACAAGTCCGAGGCATAGATGCAGCAATTCCAACATCTCAGTATATTTCCTTCAAAACAGTAAACATCATAGAACATATTAAATGATCGAGGAGTCTTAACTTAGTACATTATATAACATTTAAGAATAAAAAAAACATAACATTTAGAAGCCTACGCAATTATTAACTTTTGCCAGGTAAAAAAAATCAATACTCATACTACTAATAATAATACATCGTCTGTGTGCGCAGTTATGAATACGTGCCCTATATTTCCATCTTTGAAATAAAAATGCGACTGAAATGAAACTAGTATAAAAAAAACAGCACAGTTTTAAAAATAGTTTTCGCGCGATGACGAGACACTTTCAGAGAGCGGAAAAAGTCCGCCTTTGACCGTGAGGGGAAACAGTGATGAGAAGGCTGTTGTTGGCATCGCTCTATGACGAAGAAGGACTGCCTGTTGTCCGTGAATAGGGCCTCTTTTCCAGACGCGGATAGATATAGCACTGATTTTTAATTCGTTTTTCTTTCAGAGACAACAATGCGTTATTTGAGAGCTCGATACAATTTGAGGTTTTGTAAGAGATCCCCATTTATGGCCGTCAGAGTCCAGCTGCCCATATGGGTCAGGACGCGTGGAGCAAACATCACAATGGCACCAAGTAACAAGAAGGACAAAACCCAAGGAAACAAGTCCCTTAATCTGAGGAGAGCTGACAAACTCCCACTTCCTGACTTTTACAAGTATTTCGCATTGCTTCAGGCGTCTTTACGCACATTACGCACAATAATATTTATCTGGATCTGTTATTGCAGCGCTTCTTCAACAGTTCTAGCACCCACAAGTTAAATTTTTGATTTGATGAATGCCTTTTAGACACTAAAACCAAGAGCGAAAGAAAAACAATATTGGAAACTTGTGTATATACAATTCACGCAATTGATAATTAAACGTAATTTCAGTTCGTAACGTTCTGTATTTGTTGCCTTCACCCGCCCGTGACTGACCTGAGCTCAACCAGTGGTGGAACACAGAAGCCTTTGTGCCCACAAAAGCAGTAGTCCCTTGAGATTCAATTCTGTAAATAATTTGCAAATCCGTCTAATTTAGATGTTTGCTTTGCGATGATAGGGGCAACTCTCGCATCTGTCCAGAGATAGTGTGTGGGACAAATGCATGGATTTTTCACCCGCCTTATCATATTTACTCAAGATACTACGAAGGGAGCGTGCAATTTGTCCAGTGCTCTTCGTATGCGGTAGTCCCTATATTATTATTGATGCTGGATCCATTCCATGCATCTACAAAGGTGAGGGGTATATGTATTTCACGCGCCCTGACCGCTGTCAAACAAAGAGTCTAAACGGGAGTCATTGATTATTCTTTCTCCATTTATCCATAACAAAACAAGTTATTGCATTGAACGATTTTCTCATGTGCCAAGGCCGACAGCGGTGCGCACGGACAAAAAGAGAGCTTCCACTCAAAGGCTTCTTATGTGGTCGAGCCCTCTTCTGCTAAGTGAGTGGGTTTTAGTCCATTGGTGAGTGACTTTAGGTTCTTTAGTACTGACTAGTTGGGATTGTCAAAATATATTCCCAGGATTAATTTAGCCTTTTGGAAAACGGGTTGAAGTGCGCAAGAGATTTAAGAGCAATTATTTGCTAAAGACGCGCTTGTGGTTCCCTGTGCCTTTAAAGCAGCACAATACACTTACTCAGAAGCACACATTTTATTAAAAAAAGTATTTAAAAAAAATCATAAGTCATCTCCAGAGCACAGTATTATTTACAATGTCTCTTCATCTTTCTCAAAACTGGGAACCTCTTTTAAGTATACCAGACCTGATCCAAATGCTCCCAACATCTATTTACAGAAAATAAAAACAAACCAAAGAATAAGAGCTGAAAAGTTGCCAATGTTTATTCATGGCCATAAATATTTTGCGGTCCATAAAAGAAACAAGAAATTATTTCATCTATAATAATAAAGTGGTTTGTACGTGCTGAACACGAAGGACAGAGTGGGCAAACAAAAATGAGGAGAAAAAACATATCTACAACCAACACACAATTACAAAAAATGTTCACGAGAAGAGCATTGACAAATTTAATAAAATCTATAAGGGAGAGGTTTGAAGCCAGTTCTCTTAACGAAAACATGTAAACACGGCGCACGCATGAGCCCCGATAAAAATGGTTGTATATATATGAGTCAAGCTGCAAAATGTCATGTCTCTTTGTTTGTGTTTTCTTGATCTTCTCCTCTGTCACACACTCTATTTGTGCCTCCAACGAGCCAAGAGCAGAGTCTATAATTTATCTCACCAAGTCCACTGTTGCGTCTGCACCAAGTGATGTGCTGAAGGGAACTGTGCCGTGGCCGCGCCGTACTGCGCGTTATACTGCATGTGTTGGAGAGACTGGGCACTATAAGCTGAGAAGGGGATCCCGGCCTGAAAAGTGGCCGCCAAGTCCTGAGCTTTAAGAGTGTGACACGGCTTTCCATCCCTGACTAAGACCGGGACAGCCACCCGCCTGGGAGAGGGGAGATGGGTCACTTCCATACCTTTTTCGGCCCGTGCTCTCTTCATCTTATACCGATGGTTCTGGAACCATATCTTGACCTGGGTCGGGGTGAGGCGTATCAGGCTGGCCAGATGCTCTCGTTCTGGAGCGGACAGGTATCTCTGCTGCCTGAAGCGGCGCTCCAGCTCGTAAGTCTGCGCTTTGGAAAACAACACCCTCCTTTTACGCTTCTTGCCCGAATCGCTGCCGCCACTGCTGGACGTTTCCTTGTCGTTGTCCGGGGACTCGTCGTCTGCAGACGGCTCCGGAGACTTGGCCGAGTCCTGGGAACCCGCGGAGAGGCCGTGCACTGCACCGAGGAAGGAAATAAATACTGTCAAAATGTTATGTTGGTCTGACTTATTATAAAACCTGTTGTGAGTGAAAGCTAAAGGCCCACACTGAACTATATCTTTTAAATAACCACATAATTATTTAAAGTAAAATAGTTTATAATGATTGAACAAAACTGTGTTCTTTTTAACACTAAATGCTGAGTGGATCCCAAAGCAACAGGGAGAAGCAGTGAAGCATTCACACGTGCATTGTCTGTGCCCAAATCCCCACAGAATGCAGCTTAAAAGCCTGTTCTTTCCAACTAACACAACGAATCCATTCTAACATATCAGGCCAATCTGTTTTTTTAAAACACTTAAAAAAAACATTACTAAATGTAAATATGCTCTTTATCACTGTCCATGCATGAAGAGGAGCGCATGCGGATGCTGCCCACCCAAGTGCACGTCTGGGTGGTAGCCGAGGGCTGCGAACATGTCGTGAAGTATAACACGAAATGGTGCAAAACACAACAGATGCTGAATGATGAAGAGATTTGTCTACTTACATGAATATTGGATGCTGTCCGTAGTAGCAAGCCATCGCGTGTAAGGATTGTCACTGCTGTCATAAAAGGGTGCTTTTAAAGGAAGGGTCTGAACGCTGTCTAAAGGACTTTGCACCAAAACTCCAGTGGTTTTTGTGGTGGACGTAGTCTCCGAGCCCTCCGTGTCCTCCTCCGCTCCGGTGATAGATCCCTCTTCGTCATTAGTGTCGGGAAGGTCCAAAATGTCCTTTACTGAAAAGCCCGTCTTTGTGTTGGTCAACGACATATTCTGCTGAGGGAGAAAGATGCGGGAAAAAGTTGCGACTGCAGCAGCTCGTCGGAGAATCCGCTGTTTGGAGACAAAAAGAAGAAGAGGCAATGTTTCAGGAGCAATCGAGAGAGGAAGGCTCGCTCTACGCTGAGGTACTGTGAAAGCCGCCACTGTGAAGGATAACCATCGCCGAGGCGAAGTACGAGCAGTGGGTCTCAGGCTGTAAGTCCAGGAAGGATGCCAAAGTGGCTCAAGTGCTATGTGCGGCTCATGGATACTGTGCTACTGCTGGTGCTAGAGGGAAATAAGCCATTACCTTGTCCGATCAGTCCATATAAGGTTGGTCTCAGCACATGAACCTGCAGTGAAAAAGCATTACAAAAACGCGAAAGGTTGGCCACGTGTGGGCGGGTCTTAGGAGTCAAGTGGATGAAGACAGTGTTTGCAGATGTGAAATTGTGGGTTTTGGGGAGATCCGAGCCTCTACCATTGGCGCTTCAGAGCATGATGAGTGGTATAACGTGTCAATTAATTACAAAGACGGGGAGGGCCTTTTTTACACCCTATTTACATACAAAGAACCTCCAAGGAGCTTTAGACACACAATACTTTAAAAGGATGATTTAAGACAGTGCTGATGCGTTGGTTTGATATTCGTAGGTATAAAGCAGAATTTATGGAATGATGTTGAAAATGACTTGGGTCATTGTGTGTGGTTCAATGTTACCAAGTAATTTATGCAAACCTTTTGTGTCAATATTTTGACCGTGGCTTAAGGGAAGAGGTTATAGCTGTTTGTATTTGTATTTAAGGTGAATTGATTGAGTTAAATAATGATAATACTAATACTACTTCAACTAATGATATTATTATATTTATTATTGATATTATTAATAACAATAACTGAATGGTTATGATTATTATTATGATTATGACTATACTTATTATGCTATTATAACATTACTAATATGAACTACTATTGTTAGGCCTATTATTCTAAATAATAGGAGACAATATTTTGGATCATTCTGAATACAGTATATTTCTCATCATGGGCAGTGCATTCATTCCATATATTTAAACAGTCCTCTCTCGTCTCTCTATAATGTAGTCCATCTTGTCTTTGTCACTTTCCCTGTCTATTGAAAAAGCAGTATCATTGTTGCTTACTTTATTTTCGCTTCCCTTCAAGACTTTTCTCCCTCCATCCTCCTCCCTCTCTCGCCTTCTATCCAGTATGTGATGTGGGTGACAATGTTTCCAGCTTTTTTTGACCAAGTCCCCTGCGCATCCTGGGTGGTCGGACCAGGGCAAACACAAATACAAACCGATTGCTAAGCTGCAGACAAAGGAGGAAATGTAGACAAATGTCCGGCTCCTGTTGGAAGCTTTTGTCCATTCGCAGTTTTTGCATTTATTTCAGGACCGAAATAATAGATGATTGACGCCCCGCGCACAATGCTTTCTAACTGTTTGGAATAAATCTGAGGTTGTTCCGAGTTGTCATGGCATTCAACCGCTTTCAATGGACTATCTCTTCATTCAATTCCTGGATCCTTCCACAATATCAAGGAAAGTCCTTCATCTCACACGCCCGTGCACGCACATAACACCGCAAATATGGCGCATCATATTATTAATAATGATCATTCCTATTATTATTTTAATACAAGTAATAACAGTACTACATAATAACAACTTGTATTATGATGAGCATTATTAATAGGCTATCATCATCATCATCATTATTATTTTTTATTATTACTATTATTATTATTATTATTAATTTGGGAGAAAACAAATGCATTTTCCATGCAGCATGATTTTAGTCATATTTACCAACGAGAGTAAACATTTCACTCGAGCTTCTTAAGGAATGAATCACAACATCTCACAAAGAGTCCATTGAGCTTGATGCATTCGGCCAAAGTAGATGCGGCTGATCCTAAAAGCGACTGAGAGGTTACTGACCTGCACCACAACAGCTTAAACACGTCCAGCGCATCCAAAGGAACACGGCGGAGTTGTCACGCACTGCTGGAGACGCTTGCCGTCCTGCGCATACAGTACATGTGTGCCTTTGGATGCGCCCGTTGCAACGTACAGCTGTGGCCTATAGGACTGGGCTGCTTATTTGATCAGTGGCTGAGAAGAGGGGAGCGTGTGCAGGGAGTGGAGTGGACATCCTCCACGTGGAGAGCCTATCACTGTGTGTTTACCTGTTTACTTTCTCAGGTCGTTCAAATAGGCCGAGCACCTTTCCGCTCTGACAGATGCTGCTGCATCAGCCTCAAAACTATATGGCCATTTTTGGACCAACTTTAGTCTATTGATGTTGATATATAATATCTTATTATTATCATCATCATTATTAAGTCTATTACTATTATTACTATCAGTTGTATTATAAATATCAATATTAACTTTCATATTAATTATTACATCTGGGCTAATAATTGGTTAGGGTTTTTTTTCTTCTAAATTTGGGAAGGAGAGGCCTATTTTAATGTTCATAAACAGTACGCAGAGACGTTTCTCGGGTCGCTGACGCCTTTTGGCCTATACTCACTGACCGATTTAATACATGCCAGTATTGTGTGTGCGGCTTGCTGCAGGCCTCCACAGCAGATGCATAAGGATTTAAAGGACAAAGCAGCGCTGCTCTCCGGATCCAGTGTTTTAGTCCAGTTGTCCACAGCCCGCACAGGGAGAGAACTGAAGGCATGCTTTGCTGCATTCATTGATTATCTGTGCGTAAAAATAACCTTTCGACATGATCCATGGCGGATGTAAATATAGTAGTCATCATTTCTAAAATAATGATCCAAAATAGGCCAGTACCCTGCATAAGTGTGTATGTGTGTATTCTTTCTTCCAGATTTGCAAAGCCGACCGCACAATGTTGTCATCCAAAAAACAATTAATTGCTTCTGAACCCCCAAAAGCGTCACAGTCTGATTAATTATTCCCTTCCTAAAATCATGCCCACAATTGTTCTCAAATAACTAGAAAGAGCGTTTTATATTCTTGATTAAATACATCTTCCGATTGAAAGCACAAATAAGAATGCCGCGGGAGAATTTATAATAATGTTGATCATTGGCTTCTTTTAATCGCTGGCTCTCAGCGCTTTAGGATGCCTGAGGCGCAGAGTTGGGCTTTGATAAAGGTAACCCCGACTGCTCCAGGCTCGCCTGATAAATGTACAGAGTGACAAGAGCCATTTCCTGCGTCTATGATTAAAACCTACAAATAATATGCAGGTAGCCTAAATCCGGGCGCGCCTTATTATGGGGCTAATCCGTGGCCTGGGGAGGTTATGGCTCACGGGTAGAAATCATTTCAGAACCAGTTCATTTTTTCAACAGAAAACCAACACATTTTCCTCCCGGTTACACGGCTTTTATTCGTGTCTATTTTGTTAGTGATCAAACACGTCACGGACAGATTAGGCGCACAGCCCGAGGAGATGCCTTTATTTGTTAAACCACCAGTGAATTTCTAACCATCCATTTCTGTCACCTTTAACATCTAAAGCATCCTATATTGGAGAATTGATTATTTTGTAATCACCTCACATTTCTGTAGAGGAGTGAGCGTGCCTTAGTGCGTGATATTTAGGAGGATACATAAACAAGTGCAGGCAAGTGTGGATGATGGCACGAGTAAAGACAGAAAGTGCTTCTCAGAAGACAGCCTGTGTCTGAGTGCAGTCGTAACACCAACAGCTGTTGACATCTGTAGAGTTCTAGCGGTCTCTACTGGCGCCTTAAGAAACAGCAGGATGCGCACCACTGAGACACCCCGGAAATTCGATGAAGAACCCAGAAAGACATTAAGCAGGCTTTTCAACTGCCTAAACACACACCTCTATCAAACTGAACACAGTTAGTGAAGCGGCTGGAATGTTTTCTCACAGAATGGAAGTGAGTATAATGTGGGCCTGCTCAAGGTCTTCACTTGAAAGTTCAATAGTGGTGACTATAAAAGGCAAAGCATAGTAAACAGATCCAAAATACGGTAAGTGCTTACCTATAGAAACAAGTAGAGGGGATTCTTTAGCCGAGGTTTGCACGCTCTCTGCAGTTAATAAAATATCTCCAAATGGGGACAAGGAGTGCGCGCACAGATAAGCCTGATGTGGTTTATATACCCAGAAAGCACCTCTTCTCATATTGTCGCTCAGCGTTTGCATAGCTGGCCAAGTGGCCGAGCTGGAGCTGACTCGCTGACATCGCACTGTTTGTTTTCCCCCTCGCTGTGACGTGAGACAAAATATTGGCCATATGTTCATCGGCAATAAATTGGTCTCAGGCGCAAACAACACACTTGGCGCGTTCGGCTCGTGTGGATCAGTCTGGGCTGATTGAAACAGTAGGCTGTAGGGACGTGGATGTTACACCGGTCAATTTCAAAGATAATTGTGACACTATGGAAGCACTGCCGCTTGATCTTTATATTGCACGCTATTATCTTCACACTGGACGCACTAATAAATCGCTTGGTAACCAAGGCGCGACACAGCCCACAGAGCAGATGTGGCATGTTATACACGCACAGCTACGTTTACATTAGATACAAAGATACAGTGATTGATAACCGAGGTCAGTGTCACCATTCGATATTCAGGAGCAGGAGCGGTCCCTAGAGGCTCATACGGAAGTCTGCGGTGCGGAGGGGACAGCAGGCCACACACGGCAGCCACATGCCATTATTAACACATTATGTGTTCCCAATATCATATTAGGCAAGAGCCGCTGATATGTGGAACAAGATTATTTTGTTTAAATTCTTGTCCAAATCCAGAAAAGTGGCCTAAGGGGGAAGGATGGATGGAGCATTGTTTTAACTCCGCTTTCCTTAAAAAAAGCTAATACAAAAATAAAACGTTTATTTATGTGAAATAATACCTTTCATTTATACACAAAAAGACAAACTAGAGAAAAGCCATAAGCACAGGCTTTGACACCTGGGGGCTGGATGACTTAAATCAAGACAATGATTTTATTGTGGGC